AACAAACTAAGCAAACAACTAGAACAGGAACAGAATCACAGAAATGGAGATCCCATGGAGGGGTATCGGCGGGGAAAGGGATGGGGGAGAATGGAGGAAAAGGTACAGGGAATAAGAAGCAGAAATGGTAGGGACAAAATAGACAGGGTGAGGTTAAGAATAGTATGGGAAATGGAGAAGCCAAAGAACTTACATGTATGACCCACGGACATGAACTAAGGTCGGGGAATGATGGTGGGAGGGCAGTGCAGGGTGGAGGGGCATAAAGGGAAGAAAAAGTGGGAAAACTGTAATAGCATAATCAATAAAATGTATTAAAAAATTTGGCATCACTGGAGAAAATTTCATGGGTGAATTAGAGTTCCAGTTTGCTGGCTGACTGTAGGGTGGTAATTTATTAACAAGCCTCTAGCTCTCTGTGCCCAACGTGAGAGCCACCAGCCTTATGTGGGTACTGGGTGCTGGAGCTGCGGCAAGTCTGACTTGTGCGGTAACACACACAAGATTTCTAAGACATTGTATGAAAGAATACTAAGTATCTTAATATTGTTTTGTATTGAATACATGCAAATATATTATGTAGTTTATACAGATTAAATAAGTAAAATAAAGATTTTATACAGATTAAATAAAACAGAATATTATTAAAATCAATTTCATCTATTTCTTTTTGTATTTTTTTAGATTTATTTATTTATTTATTTTTAGAGAGGGAAGGCGGGGGGGGGAGAGAGAGAGAGAGAGAGAGAGAGAGAGAGAGAGAGAGAGAGAGAAACGTCAATGTGTGGTTGCTGGAGGTCATGGCCTGCAACACAGGCATGTGCCCTGACTGGGAATAGACCTGCGATGCTTTGGTTCGCAGCCCGCGCTCAATCCACTGAGCTATGCCAGCCAGGGCTCTTTTTGTATTTTTAAATATGATTACTAGATACTTTAAAGTTGCTTATGTGGGTGACACTATTTCTATGTTCTGTTAGACAACGCTGCTGCAGCCCTTGATAGTGACGTAGCTACCGAATCTCTGCAGTCTGTCGTTAGGTTCCCACTACAGATTTCGGATGATTTACTTTTTTTGTTCAAACTAAAATTGTCTCCCCTCCTTATGCATCAAGTGTAGTAAAACTATTTGAATTTCCTAACCATGTGAGAATTTTGTTATCTTTTATTCATTTTTCAAAAATATAATTCAGCCCTGGCTGGTGTGGCTCAATGGAATGAGTGCTGGCCTGCAAACTGAAAGGTCATTTGTTCAATTCCCAGTCTGGGCACATGCCTGGGTTTCAGGCCTGGTTGCCAGTTGGGTGTGTGTGAGAGGCAACCGATCAACGTATCTCTCACACACTGATGTTTCTCCCCTTCTCGTTCTCACTCCCTTCCCCTCTCTCTGAAAGTAACTAAATGAAATATTTTTAAAAAATAAAATAAAAGGAACCATATATATATATATATATACACACACACACACACACACACACACACACACACACATATGTATATACACACACACATATATAGGTGTGTGTATATATACCTATATTTATATATATACACACACCTATATATTTAGGTGTGTATATATATATGAAGAGAGGCTTAGGACACACACACAATTCAGAAAAAATAGCCTGGGGTACCATTTTCTCTTACTGATATTTATAATTGAACGAGAGGAGCCTTACTCAATTAACACATGCTTCACACTAAACTGTGAGCAGGCTTTCAGCGGTGTGGGGAGAAAGCAGGCTCAGTCCCTCTCTTCCACCAAGCAGGCAGCCTTGAGTTGTGTGACTGTCCCGTCTGCCTGGTCCAGGTACCTGTACCTTATCAAAGGCAAGACATACAATAGTCCAGGAGACTATCCGATAGTCCATGGGTCCTGTGCCAACAGAGATGCTCCATTTTTGGATGGTGATTCAAGGACCCAATCAGATTTCTGACCTTGAGGGAAACCCCCTCAGAGCAGAGCCTCTGCTCTGCCCGTAAGTCATGACACAGAGAAAAGGCTATAGAAGCAAAGACAGCAATAAAGAGAAGCCAAGGGTAGAAAAGAGAAGCAGATGGAGAAAGAGGAAGAGTCACAGAGAAGTCGAGTCATAGCCAGAACAGAGAGTAGCCGCTGCCCACTTTGGAGCGTACAGGAAGGCCAGGTGGTAGCCACTGTCGCAGGCTGCCCTTGCTCCGGGGCTGGGTGAGGACTGGCAGTGTGCTGATGCGCTGCTTTCTGGCTTCCTGTGGTGTCTTTAAAACGAGTCTTCATCTGCTTGCGGTAATGCAAGGCTCTCTGTTCATTGCAATTTATACATGAAGGAAGAGATGTGGCAGGCAGGATTCTGAGATCAGAAGGCATAAGGGGAAAATGTATGTGTGCTCGTGTGTGTGTGAAAGGGAGAGAGAGAAAGAGAGAGAATTATCATGGCAGGTGTCTCTACAGCTCAGGGTAAGATGAGAAAAGAAGAGGAAGTGAAGGGAAAGAAGGGAAAGAGAAAAGATTTTTGACAGGAATAAAAAAATTGCATCTCCCCCTGGCTGGCGTAGCTCAGTGGGCTGAGCTCGGGCTGCAAACCAAAACATCGCAGGTTCGATTCCCAGTCAGGGCACATACTTGGGTTGCAGGCCACGGCACCCAGCAACCGCACATTGATGTTTCTCTCTCTCTCTTTCTCCCTCCTTTCCCTCTCTAAAAATAAATAAATAAATAAAATCTTAAAAAAATTTTTTTTAAAAATTGCATCTCCAAGTTATCAACACATATGGTTCTGGGCTTCCTATTCTATATTGCTAGTTGAAAATAAGGATTTAAAATTTTTTTAAATTGCAAATGAAGGTGGTGGGAATAGTACATAAGGTCTTGTGCACCTGGAGTGGTGAAAACATTGTGGGCTTTGGAGCCAGACTGGGTTTTGAATCTGAACTCCATCTCTTACTGGATGATGACTTCAGCAAGTTCTCGTTCTCTCTGAACAAGTTTCATTATCTGTCAAATGAGAATTACATATAACTTCTCTGCAGTGTGTTGTGAGTGTTAGCCAGTATCTTCTATGTGATACTCCCTGCGCTGAAGAAGTGAATTCAAGCTAACGTGGCGGTGAACATGGTAGCACAGAATCCTGCTTCCTAACTTGGCTCAACTCGTTTTGGGTAAATACATTTAAACAGAGGTAAGGGAAATGTCTCCATCCCCTGACAGTGTAACGTGTTTAAACATGTTGGACTCCAGGGAAAAATTATGTTTTTGGACACAGAAAACCCCAAGTGATTATTTTTCCTCGAGAGGGCAATCGTGAATATGAACGTGCTGATCATAGTGGTTGGAGAGTTTCCAGGATAAAAGAGATTTCAGAGCTGAGTTCATCAAACAAGCAAGGCCGGCCCTCTCCAGCATTCCTGATGCTGGTGCGTGTATCCGGCTCCTGTTTCCTTGCATGTGCAGGCGTGTTTGTGTTTGTTTATGTGGGCAGTAGACTTACGGTTTTCTGTTATGGTTTTTCTTTACACAGTTATTTATGGTATGATTTCCCCTAAAATATGAGTAGAAATGCACTTACTGCATTTTTACTTAAACACATTATTGTAAAAAAATTCTGGTTTTAACAATGTACCCCTCCGCAGTTTCACATTTACATAAACCACGTTTATCATTCATTTAAAAATTGACCATGCCCCCTACGGACAAATCCATTTGGAAATTTTCATCTTCACTAGTAATTTCCAGCAATGTCACCTAAATCTTAAGTAGAAGTAAAACCTCAAAAAGCATTGCTTTGAAAAAATTGATCTGCATTCTGCAACCTACGTAAACTATACCATGCTTGTCTTACCACTTTATTTTGAGACAAGGCCTCTATTACCCCTTGCCACCCCTCTTCCAGTCAGATCGCTAAAATGATGGAGCCACCGTTCCTGTTCTTTCTCAGCTCCACTTGGTCACGCCCCCCACCCTCGCCCGTGTGGTGGGCGGGGCAACTGATCTGAACCTTAAAGTGAGGCGCCATCCAAGTGCCCTAAGATGCTCTGGGAAACAGGATGGCAGGTCCACAAAAGGGTTAAACATAGAATTGCTGTGTGACTCAACAACTCTGCTTCTAAGTACATACCCAAAAGAATCGAAAGCAGAGTCTTGAATGGATTATTCATACGCCCACGTTCATGGCAGCACTATTCACAACGGCCAAAAGCTAAAAACAATCCAAGTGTCCATCGCTGGGTGAATGAATAAACAACATGAAGGATATGCACACAATGGACTACTATTCGACCTTAAGAAAAGAAGAAAGTTTTTTTTAATGTTTGCAAATCACATATCTTTTTTTTAAAGATTTTTAAAATTTATTTTATTTTTAGTGAGGGAAGGTAGGGAGATTAAGAGAGAGAGAGAGAGAGAGACATCAATGTGCGGTTGCTGGGGGTTATGGCCTGCAACCCAGGCATATACCCTGGCTGGGAATCGAACCTGTGACACTTTGGTTCGCAGCCCACACTCAATCCACTGAGCCATGCCAGCCAGGGCTGAAAAGAAGAAAGTTTTGATTTCCTTCGTGCTACAACATGGAAGAACCTTAAACATGTTATGCTAAATGAAATTAAGCCAGTTACAAAAGGACACACAGTAAATAATTCAACTTATATGAGGCCACAAGAGATGTCAGATTTATAGAGACGGAAAGTAGAATAGTGTTTACCAGGGGCTGAGAGGAGGGGGAAATTGGGAGTTATCATTTCATGGGTCAGGGCGTCGGGGTGGGGTGATGGAAGAGATCTGGGGGTGGATGGCCGTGGTGGTCGGGCAGCAGCGTGAACGTGCTTGGTGGCATTGCACTTAAGATGGTTAAGGTGGTACCTTTTACGTATCTGTATTTTACTGCATTTATTAAAAAGACATTCTAAGACTACGACCAATTTATGCAACCTGTAGTACCACAGGGATGCAGTAGAGGGCAAAGGAGTTTTAGCATCACAGAAAATCATGATTCAGTCACTCCTTCAGCCACACCTGTGGCTCACACGCGCTGCTGCAAGCCTGGGAGTGAGAGCTGTTAGCTTTGTTCGTCCTAACGCTCCTGAAAAGGCAGTGAGGGCTGCAGGGGCCTTCCCTGAAGAGGAGGTCATGTGAACTCATGTACGTGGGAAAAATGAAGCCTAATTCAGATTTCTAGTATTGTTTTGCCTCTGTTGCTCTGAGGATTACTGATCAGTGAAAGACCTCGGGGCTGCAGATCTGAGGAATTGTACTGAAGAGGCATGGGGGTTTGAGTTTCCTTTCGATGGTTGCTGATTAAGCCTGGCCAGTCCTTCTCCCTCGAGTGGATGGTCCCAGGAGTCCTGGTGAGTTTCCTCCAGCTTCAATTTTCCGTGATGCGTGTTAGTGATGTCTGCTGTCGACTGTTTAGAGCTTACTTGTAGCTCCTTTACAGTCTAAAAGTTCTGCATGTGTGTTGTATGTCTAAAAGCAGGGGCACAGCTCTCGGATTTTGTATGTTGTGGCCCTTGCTCAGTTTCCTCTAGAAGTCCAAAGGGACCAAAGGTGGCCGTGTGGCTGCTGCAGGGAATGATGGGGGGCGTCTGGGCATTTGATCCCCAGAAGAGCTTTCTCACGGACCACCTGCACTAAGCCATAGATTAGAGTTCCATGCACTTTCTGAGTTTTATTTTAATTCTTGTGGATGTGTAACTCTCTTTATGCATGTAGACAAAGTCCTCTGAACTCTGTGACACCCAGCAGAGTGTCCCACAGCAGCCTCCTACCACTCGTGAGAGAGGCACACGGGGTGGGAAGGAGGAAGAGGCCCCCATGGCCGCAGGCCCTGACGGTGGAATCGACCTTGGTAATCAACTCCCAAACTACTTCATTTCGGGGCTCAGAATGCCTTCAGCCTGGGTTCTGGAAAGGACTAGACAGGTTGGGTTCAAATCCAAGTGCTGTCACTTATTCAGTGGGTAACCTTGGACAAGTTACTTAATCTCTGGGTTCCAGCTACTCCATTTGTAAAGTTGGGATAAAAATAGCCACCATTTTGTTGGGTTGTCAAGAGGATTGAGCAAGATAATGTATGGGAAGTGGGTAGCTCCCCACCAGACACATAAGAAACATTTAACAAATGGCAGTCATTCTCACTCTTATGTTGCAAAGACCACTCAATGTTCACTGAGTTTTTAAACCCTCCTCCATTTTTTTTTTGCATTATTGGGAAAGAGAAATTAGAGGATTAGATATTCTTTGACAAACCACCTATAGTCATTTCATGGTGTCCTAGACTGGGACTTTTAAATCATACTCTGTTCAGGAAAGTCATTCCGTTTTTCACCTTCTTTCAGCATAGTAGTCACAGAAGTAGGAGTATGATAATAATAATAACTATTACTTATTGGATGGATATTTCATGAAAAGCTTATGCCCCACTTTTTAAAATATTTTAATGAAATGCTGTGATGCATATGGCTTGCCTGCAATAGGATCTCTTTATTATTAAGAGAAGTTTAAAGAGAGTTGGTTCATCCCCCTTGTTTAGAATAAGTTCTAGACGAGGTTGTGGTATTGGGCGGGAGGAAGAGGAGGGTAGACCATGGAAGCTCTGACCTTTCCATGTGGGGGATTTCAGAGAAAGAAACTGGGTTAGATTCTGCTGCATTTTTCAAGGGCCACAGCTCTCAAAAATACCTTGATCAGCTAATGACCGTCCCTCCCATTGTCCTGCCACGCCATCCTGCAGCCTCAGACAGAAGGAAGAATCAGTAATATGGAATCTTGTCTCGATGAAAAAGTTTTCTATTTTGCTCACCGTGAATGTCTGCATTAATTTTAATTTTTAAAATATTATTTATCTTGATTAATGAGTGACTTGATGGCCCTTAAAATTTGTGCCTGAAATCCCCTAGTCTCGGCCCTGATAAGTGCTACCATTTGTAGCATGCCCACCCCGGTAACAAGTGACTCATATGCACTCTCTTTTTTACGCCCCTTCACAAAATCTGTTGTACTGATGAGAAGCTGGAACTCTTCAGCAGTTAAATTAATGATCTAAGCTAGCACAGCCAGTGAGTGGCTAAGGTTGGACTTGAACACAGATTGACTAATCCCTTACACTAAACTCATTCCTGAACCATCATGCACTGCATCGTATCAGGAATTCACAACACCAGTTCATTCATTCAACACACATTTTTGAGAGCATATTATGTACCACTCTGTGCTTAAAAAATATAAAATGAAATCATTTGTTCATTCATATATACATTTTTAAAAGTATTTGCTGAGCATGTGCTGTGTGCTAGACTCTATCTGATGTGCTGGGGATATGGAAGTGAACGAGACTGTCAACTCTTTCTCTCCTGGGCGTGAGAGGTGGGGGAGATAATTGATAAACAAATAAATGAACAGAAGTTTTAGATAGCAGTAAGCACTCTGTTTTGTAGAGGAATTAAAATAAAGTGATATGAACTAAAAACAAGTTGTCTACTTCACACTAGGTGGTCAAATCAGGTCTCTTAGAGGGGATAAACTTTAAGCCAAGATCTAAATAACCAAAAAAAACCCAACCAAGAAAGGCCTGGGAGAAGAGCCTGCCAACCCCAGGGGAGAGGCTAGTGCTGAGGCCCTAAGGTGGAGGAAGCGTGGTGCGGCCGGGAACTACAGAGGGCCAGTCCGGCTGGAGTGTGGAGGGCAGGAGAAGAGGAATGTGAAGTGAGATCCCAGAAGGAAGCAAGAGCAGCTCATGGAGCGTGTCGTTGTCTAGTATTAGAGGTGAGTTAGCCACAGGCCGGCTGCTGTCACAATATACAGTGGCTTAAACCGGATAGTGCTCAATGTGATGACTCAGTCCGTGTCACTGTAAGTAATTGAAATAAAATCTAAATTGGGTGACATTTGCAGACTTACTCATTAGGTTCCTTGGACTGTGTATTAGGAGACTTTAAAGAATCAATACAACTTAGTGAGATATGGTTTGATTGTGATTAAGGTAGTGTAACACATTCTGAGAACAAATCAGCCCCGACTCACCCTAGAGTGGCTAAGAGCCCGGGCTCTGGACTCACGACAGTAACTCCGTGACGGCGAGGTGGGCCTTTGACCGCCACCTTTTGTGTCTGTGAAGGGGGAGTGGGGACAGCACTCGGCTGTCGTAAGGATCGATCTGTATAAGGTTAGTGTTACTTAGCTCAACGAATGCTAGCTGTCGTTACCCCCAAAACATCAGGTGGTCACTGTGTCATTAGCATGACAGAGCCCACATGGAGTGGAGATGCCACCAGACTTGCTGAATCGATAGAAGTGACATCAAACAGAACAAGTTACTCCTGTCCTCTTACATGTGGGTAACAAATTAAAATCATGGCACTGGGAACTGATTTATTTTGCTGGATTCCTGAAATCTGGAGGATTGTCACAGATATAACATTACATCACAGAGGCTTTTTTAAATATTTGTAGCTGTTCTTCCATTGACTGTCGGATGCTGTAGTAAATATTGTACGAAAAGGAGATGACCAAGGGCTACCTCGGATGAGCTGGAAGGAGTAAAAAGGGAGGAAATATCTCAGTGCCAAGGAGAAAACCCTGGGCCTGTTCCAGGCCACCATCTCCTCAATCCCACCCCCACTGAGAGCCTTCCATGGCCCCTTTCCACCAAGCACTCAGTGGGCAAGGACTATGAAAGTCAAAGTTTTCTCTTCACCGTCATGTCCCTAGGTGGTTGAGCATTTCTGTGTTCAGTTTCCTGTTTTCTATGAAACATTTTTATAAAGTATTTTCATTGTTAACTTAAGAGAAATATCCACATTTTCTAGAATTCCTTCACAACAACAAACAAACAAATAAAAAACCCAAACTTGAGTAGGCTCTAGAGACAGAAAACTCCAGACGAGAGTGGGGCACTATTTCAGGTGTCCCGTTGTGTTAGTTCTGCCAGTTTGGCCCCTCGCCACACTGGCACAGGTGTGCGCACGTCCACACACACACACAGCTGCTCACAACTGCGGCCCACAAGAACAGCACAGCGAGGTCTCACTGCGCCACGTGGAGGGTGCCTTGTGTTCCTCCTGCTGGTCTATGGGAGTGACGGGTCCGAGGGTCGACTGAGGGCCGGTGCGTTTTGGACACATGCGAGGTGAAGCAGGAGAACTCACACCACTGCTGATTATTTTCCTGTGGTGTTTCCGAGTGCCTGGTGTGGGAGGACCTAAAGTGGAAGAGTTTACTGCTTTAACATTAGAATTCAACCACTTCTCAGCTCCTCCTCCCGCCCCCCACCGTCTTTCTTGCATGAATTACTTGAGAGAGTCCCAGCAGATCTCTCCCATCAGCCTTGTGCTGTTCCAGCCATTTCCACCCAACAAGCAGAGGACTCTAAAGCAGGGGTGTCAAACTCACTTTCACCAGGGGCCACATCAGCCTCGAGGTTGCCTTCAAAGGGCCGAATGTAATTTTGGGACTGTATACGTGTAACTACTCCTTAACAGCTAAGTGAGAGCTCAGCGCTGCTGCCAGTAGAAACAAGGTGCCGGGTGGGAAAAAACAAGGCGGAGGGCTGGATTCAGCCTGTGGGCCTTGTGTTTACCACCTGTGCTTTAAAATGTACCTCAGCACCTGTGACCCCTCTACCCTGAATCCTCCACTGATTTCTTATTTCAATCAGAGGAAAATCCAGAGTCCTTACAAGATCTGACTGACCCTTCCATTCACTTCCCCGACTCCAGTCTAGCTACTCCTCACGTTTTCTAAGCCTGCTGTCCACCAGGCCTCTGACCTTGTACTCGTGCCTCTCTCTCTCTTCAGGACACTTCTTTCCCCAGACAAGTGGCTCGCCCCCTCACTCCCTTAGGTCTCTGCACGAAGGCCACCATGTTAGAGGGACCCTTTTTGACTGCCCTGTGCGAAATATCAGCTTCCCCAGTCACTCTCTATTCCCTTTAACTCAAAGTTATTTTTCTTTCTAGTCCGTATCACTGCCTCAGATATACATGTATCATTTTGCCTATCGTCTCCCTTTTCTTGCAGCTCACCAGGATGTAAGCTGTGTGGGAACTGAAGTTCTCCCTGCTCTATTCACTGCTATATCCCCAGTGCCTAGGAAAGTTTCTGGCCAAGTAGGTACTTCACAAATGTCTTGAATAATGAATGCTGTGAGAATCTTAGGTCTCCGAACACCTCTGCTCTGTGTCTGATCAAACAACTTGAAGGCTGCGTCTTCTCAAAATCCTCAGAATTCTGCATCCGTGAGTGTCCTCATCTGTAAAATGCGAGAAATAGAACTCCCCTCAGAGTGTTGTGATAAATCAGTGAGGTAATATATAGGACGGGTTTAGTATTTATCTCGGCACGTAGAAAGCCTCCAGGAGATGGAAAGTGTTTTCATCTCCATCGTTACTATTGTTTGGCAGGGATTGAGATTGCTTTCGCACCAACCTGAAGACACATGAAGGAGTAAGGATGGGAACCATTCTGTTTACTTCTACGATTCGGACCTTCTGCGTATGTTGGTAAGTGTTGTTTGAAGTCAGATATTAGCTTCCAGGGACTTTCTACTTCCACATGTTACAAAAATTGAGGAATACCTCATAATGTTAGTGTAGGGGCCCACAGTATTAGGTGATAAAAATTTCTTTCATCGAGAACTTACATCCACATTAAAACCTGCACACAGATGTTCACAGCAACTTTGTTCATAATTGCCAAAACTTTGAAGCTATCAAGATGCCCTTTAGAAGGTGAAGGGATGAATAAACTGTGGTACATCTGGACAAATGGAATTCTATTCAGCACTAAGAAGAAATGAGTGACCAAGCCATGCAAAGACATGGAGGAAACTTCAGTGCATATAACTAACTGAAAGAAGCCACTCTGAAAAAGATGCATCCCATGCGATTCCAACTGTACATTCTGGAAACGACAGAACTGTGGAGATAGTAAAAACATCAGTGCTTGCCTGGTGTGTGCGTGTGTGTGTGTGTGTGTGTGTAGATAAAATGACAGCACAGAGGATTTTTTTTTAGCGTGATGAAACATACTCTGTATGATACCATAATGATGGACACATGACATCATCCATTTGTCTAAACTCACAGGATGTACAAGAGGGAACCATAATGTAAACTATGGACTTGGAGTGACTGTGATAAGTCAGTGCAGGCCTATCAATTGTAACCAGTGTATTACTCTGGCGGAGGATGTTGACAAGGAAGGAGGCTATGCATGTGAGGGGGCTATATATGGAAAAAATAAATCTCTGTACCTTCCCTTCAGTTTTGCCGAGAAACTTCAACTGCTCTTAAAAAATAAAGTCTTTAAAAATTGCTTTTGATTTTCTTAAAGCCTGCAGGCTATCAAGAGGGAATGTGAGAGAGGGTGTTGAGTATGTCCTGGCAATACAGTTCCTGAGCTGAACCGAGAGAGAGGCACTTCTGCCAATATTGTATTTCTCCCGTCTGGGAATCCTGACGTGTCTCCGTGATGGAGATATGACACAGTAACTGGCTTGGAAATCCAGGAGCCAAGCTCATAAATCAAGTTCAAAGACTCAGTGTACACATGGGGACCCTATTTCAAACTCTTGGTGAATATAGTCATATGTTGGCATTAAAAAAAATTAAAAGCCTTAAGGATTTAACAAACCACATAACCACTTAACATTATTTGCTGTCTCTCTAGGATTTTGAACTCCCCTTCATCATTCATACGCGGGAACCAATGATAAAATCCCTGGAATCACAATGAGACATCTCAGAAGCATTCATGTGCTTTGCGGTATTGTCATGTCAGTGCACGTCTGGGCTTCAGAGCTGCCGGAAGAAAGGGAGCTGACGACCAACCTCTCCAACCTGTTTCTCAGAAAGGTTCCTGCAGACTTGACCCCAACCACGACCACGCTGGATTTATCCTACAACCTCCTTTCTGAACTCCAGAGTCCAGATTTTCGTTCTGTCTCCAAACTGAAAGTTTTGATTCTGTGCCACAACTATATCCAAGAGCTGGATATCAAGACCTTTGAATTTAACAAGGAGTTAAAATACTTAGACCTGTCCTACAATATGCTGAAGACCGTGACTTGGCACTCCCTAGCAGGTCTCAGACATTTAGATCTTTCTTTCAATGACTTTGGCACCATGCCGATCAGCGAGGAGATTAGCAACATGTCTCGCCTGGAAGTCTTAGGTTTGAGTGGGGCAGAAATACAAAAATCAGATTTCCAGAAAATTGCTCACTTGCACCTAACTACTATGTTTTTAGGGTTGAGAACTCTGTCTCATTACGAAGAAGGCAGCCTGCCCATCTTAAATACAACAAAACTTCACATTGTTTTACCAGCGAACACAGATTTCTGGGTTCTTTTGTGTGATGGAATCAAGACTTCAAAAATATTAGAAATGACAAATATAGATGGCAAGAGCCAATTTGCAAGTTATGAAACTCAAAAAAGTCTAACTTTAGAGAATTCCAAGACATCTACTCTGTTACTCAGTAACGTTGATTTACTTTGGGATGACCTTCTTTTCATCTTCCAGTTTGTTTGGCATACGTCAGTAGAATATTTCCAAATTGAACACGTGACTTTTGGGGGTATGGTTTACCTTGACCGCAATTCATTTGACTACTCAAACACTGCAATGAGAGCTATAAAATTGGAGCATATACATTTTAGATTTTTTCATATTCCACAGGACAGTGTCTACTTGCTTTTTACCAAAATGGACATAGAAAACCTGACACTGTCAGATGCACAGATGCCTCACATGCTGTTCCCTACTTATCCTACAAGGTTCCAATATTTAAATTTTGCCAATAATATCTTAACAGATGAACTATTTAAAAACCCTATCCAATTGCCTCATTTGAAGACTCTCATTTTGAAGGGCAACAAATTGGAAACACTGTCCTTAGTGAGCAGTTTTGCTAAGAACACATCTTTGCAGTTCTTGGACCTGAGCCAAAATCTGTTACAACATGAAAATAACGAAAATTGTTTTTGGCCGGAAACCTTGATCACCATGAACCTGTCATCCAACAAATTTGTTGATTCTGTTTTCGGGTGCTTGCCCACAAGTGTTCAAATACTTGACCTGAATAATAACCAAATTCAAACTGTCCCTAAAGAGATTATTCATCTGCAGTCTTTGCAAGAGCTGAATCTTGCATTTAATGTCCTAACCGATCTCCCTGGGTGCAGTCATTTCAAAAGACTCTCAGTTCTAAACATTGAAATGAACTTAATTCTCAGTCCATCTCCCGATTTTTTTCAGAGCTGCCCGGGAGTTAAGACTCTAAATGCAGGAGGAAATCCATTCCGGTGTACGTGTGAACTAAGAGATTTCATTCAGCTTGCAAAATATTCCAAGGGCATGATGGTTGGATGGTCAGACTCATACGTCTGTGAATACCCTTTGAATCTCAAGGGGACGCAGTTAAAGGATGTCCACCTTCCCGAATTATCCTGCAACACAGCTCTGCTAATTGTCACTATCGTGGGGGCCATGCTAGTTCTGGGGATGGCCGTGGCCTTCTGCTGCCGCTACTTTGATCTGCTCTGGTATGTCAGGATGCTGGGCCAGTGGACACAGATGTGGCACAGGGTTCGGAAGACAACGCAACAGCTCAAGAGAAATGCCCAGTTCCATCTGTTTATTTCTTACAGCGAAAATGACTCTGCCTGGGTGAAGCATGAATTGATCCCTACTCTAGAGAAAGAAGATGGCTCTGTCTCGATTTGCCTTCCTGAGAGAAACTTTGACCCCGGCAAGACAGTTACTGAAAATATCCTGAACTGCATTGAGAAAAGCTGTAAGTCCATATTGGTTTTGTCTCCCAGCTTTGTCCAGAGTGAGTGGTGCCATTATGAACTCTACTTAGCCCACTACCCTCTCCTTGATGAAATTTCTCATCACATAATCCTTATCTTGTTGGAACCCGTTCCACTCTACTGCGTTCCAACGAGGTATCCAAGGCTGAAAGCCCTCATGGAAGAGAAAGCATACTTGGAATGGCCCAAGGACAGGCGTAAGTGTGGACTCTTTTGGGCAAATCTTCGAGCTAATATTCATGTCAGTTCACTAGAAACCAGGGACACGTGTGAGCCACACACATTCACAGAGTTGAATGAAGAGTCTCAGGGTTCTGCCCTCTCTCTGATAAGAACAGACTACGTGTGAAGCCCCGTTCTCCCTCGGGGAAATTGGGCCCCACGTACACTATTGAGATTTAAGTTGATACCACCTTTATGATGACAACTTGGCAATATCCATTGAAATGAAAAATGATTGTTCCCTCATGTTAATTCCATAGAGGTTTTCTAAGAATGCGTCCTACAGAAACAGAGGTTTGCAAAGGTTTGCGTCAAAAGGTGTTTGTCTGCCAGTTCGATTCCCAGTCAGGGCACATGCCTGGGTTGCGGGCAGGTCCCCAGTTGGGGGCAAGAGAGGAAATTGACTGATGTTTCTCTCCCTCTCTTTCTCCCTCCCTTCTCCTCTCCCTAAAAATAAATAGATAAATAAATAAATAAATACATAAATATTCATATTTTTTATTTATTAAAAAAGTGCCCTGGCTGGCATAGCTCAGTGGATTGAGCGCAGGCTACGAACCAAAGCATCGCAGGTTCGATTCCCAGTCAGGGCACATGCCTGGGTTGCAGGCCATGACCCCCAGCAACTGCACATTAATGTTTCTCTCTCTCTCTCTTTCTCCCTCACTTCCCTCTCTAAAAAATAAATAAATAAAATCTTTTTTAAAAAAGTGTTTGTCCTAGCATTGTTTATAATCATGAAAAATAGAAAACAGCTCAAATGTCCACAAAATAAGGATTGACTCCATAAGTTATAATACATTAATGCAATAGAACATTACCCAACCATTTAAAAGGATGAAGTAGCTCTGTATTGACTGGTATGGCGAAGATTCTATTAACATGGTGGTTTATCAACTGAAGTAAAAGTCTAAAGGAGTCTGTGTCAGTACTTTGATATGTAATAGCAGTTTGAGTTTGGACATGAGGAACATTTGGTTTCTCTGTGGTATACTTCTATAATGTTGGAGTTGCTTAGAATGAATCTGTACTACTTTTATCAGAAAAAAACCCCAATAAAGATTCTTTTTAAAGCCTATTCATTTTGTTTGATTTTTCCCTTCTAGTCTCACAGATCATCGAAGGAAAATCAGTTTTCCTGAATTTTGCAAAATTATATTTCAAAACATGTTACTTCCCTGACTAGAAAAATGTCTGGCTCACTCACATGATAAAAGAAGAAAATGCCAAGATCCTGTAAGGTCTGACATCACTATTCTCTCACCTCCTTGCATCCTATCACTGAGCTCTACCAACTTACTGATCTTTTCCCAGAATGCTCCATCTTCTTTCAGGCCCCCAGGCTCTAGCACAGAGGGGTCCAGCCCGCCCTCTGTGGGCTGCGTGCAGCCTAGGATGGCTGTGAATGAGGCCCAACACAAAACTGTAAATTTACTTAAAACATTATGAGATTTTTTGTGATTATATTATTTAATGTATGTCCCAAGACGACACTTCTTCCAGTGTGACATAGAGACACCAAATTTTGGACACCCCTGCCAAGTCTGTGGTGTTGTGACTGCCTGTGATATCTTTTCCCCTTGCTTCTTCAAGAAATCTTACGTACCCTTCAAAGCACAACACAAACGTCAACTCTTTTTTGAAGCTTCCCTCACTTCTTTCCCAAAACATGGGGCTACTTGATTAACACTTGATTATAACACTTGAGACATATTTCTGCCACCCAACTAATAATACATGCTTTTAAAGTTTCCATTTCTCACAAGATCAAAGGCTAGGACAGACGTCCCCCTGTCCTTGCACCAGCCGCAGTTGGCTCGGTCCCGGGTTCGGAGGAGGTGCTCAGCGGATGCTGACACGGGTGTTGGGGCTAACAGAAGGGGCTTAGTGAGGACTCCACAGGCTTCAGGATAGATAGCGGAATTTGAAGGCAAATTCTGAGGAGCTGGACCAGAAGATCAAGAACAGGTGAGAAGACAGGGAATCCAGAATTGAAGGATTCCTGAGTACGGCTTGAGTCATGTAAAACTGCCAATATTTGGTGGCTGTTGACCTACAACAACATGTTTTATCTCATTCTGTCTAATAAAACTCATCTCCTTAGCAGGGTGAAATTGGGTTCTACGGCTGCTTTCTTTCCTTATAGTTGTGGTCTCATGAATTCCTTAGGCTAGTAGTCATTAGAAAAATTGTACTCAAGACCGTCAACCTGAAAGTGTAAGGGGAGGGCTGGGTGTGTCCATCTAGAAGCCAGGATGAGCTACCATTTGTCCAATGGCCAGTCTGCTCTGAGGGGCTCAAGTCCAGAAACCACAAGGCTGCGTGTCTCTCTTCTTCCTGCCTGCCAAGCCCCAGGTCTGTTGGTAGAAGGAAAAGCCCAAGGAAACCACAATGGGGTGAGGGCAGAGAAGGAGTGGGACGGCTTTTCTCCCCGGCTCTCAGCAGCTGGGCTGCTGGTGGTTAAGGAGTGTGATTCATACGTGATCTCTGGAGGAGCCACACAGATGCTATGTGAGGATCTTGTAAATGTTGAGTACATTACTCAGTGTGCGACTCTCACCTTTAAAGACTAGTTAGTAACATGCAAAGTAGGTAACATTCACCCTAAAGTCACCAGTAGTACTCCATAGTAGAATCCTCAGTTTAGTAATAGGGTATTTAGAATAGAAATGTTTTTATTACAATTCAAAAAATAACACATTAGTCTTGGCTCTCAGCAGCTTCTAGTTTCAGCAACTGGACTACCCTTAAATCTTACCTCTCCGATTGCTGGACTCTTCCTTCTCACAAACTTGGGTACCATGCATCAACTAACGTGCTTGGTTTTGATTGCTGTGGCTCATAATAAGAGAAAATGAAGTGTACATGAGTTCAATGGTGGGGTTCGAGATACAAGTAGCACCTCGCCTCAAACAAGCCTGATGATGTACTTTTCCCCAAGGAATTTCAGATTTCGACAAGTGACCATGATGTCGACAAGGAAGTGAACATGCACAGGCAATAACGGAAGCCAGGGTGACAGCTTTGATCTTGTTTTGAAAATGACTCCAGATCTTGTAAACTTGCAAGTTCCTCGTAATAACCTTGTCATTTGGTCAGCCTAGAGCTTCTTCCATGTCCCCCCAAGGATACTGCGCTCTGCGCCAATGCGATTGGAGTCTGTCTGTGGATTGATCAGAGGCCCTTCACGCCCACTGTGTATCTCTGCAGACCAATGACGGGATTCTCTGGATGACAACAGATCAGTGTCGACATTCATGTGGCAGAGAGGACTGAGATGGGATTGTTAGTCCTGAAGGTCCGGGCCACTCGGAGGGAGAAGGAAAGAATTTTACATCTAACTTAAGGCAAATGTTCCTAAAAGGTTCAACTCCTTTATCTATTATAACAAACCAGTCCAAAAAAAAAAGCATAAATGAGGAATAATTAAACTGAGGGAGAATTTAGAACTTTTCAAGAAGTAATTCTTACTTTGAAATGTGGAAAATGAGTCTTTAGAATTTTTAATAACTCACCTAAGCCCACGGCCAAATGTTAGTTTTTTAACTTCTCGATAAACATATTTCCTTCCAATCCACAACTAGGTGGCCTTTATTTTTTACATTTGATTTTATTATCTTGAGCCTTTCATTTTCATTGTTAAGATCAGAGCCCTGTATTCCCCATAATCATTTGAGATCTGGACTCTGTCTGCATCTCTCCGCACTGCCAAGGCAGTCTGCATCTGCCACTGAATCCACACCCCTAAAATAATATTCTCTCCGTAATGCATTACGAGGTAGCTCCTCAGAGCACCCCCCGTTTTTCCCCAAGGCAGACGTGTTCTCGGTGTGAGGCATAAAGAATAACAGGGGGCCTGATCTCCCGGGATGTTTCGAGGACATCGCTGGTACGCTGTTTGGAGACGCCTTCCGCAGTCCCCTGAGCTCAGTTTTTCGCTGGTGTGCTGTGACAACCGGTGTGCTGCTGGCATTGACCTCAGTCCTCCACCAGACTGACTACATGAAGGTCTGATAGTGCCCTTGGATGTCCCCACAGGCAGCAAGCACAGTGAAGACCTCCTCACGGTGGATAAGGAGGTGGTCTAACCTGGACATCTACGTCAATAGCCAGCTGCTGACACTCTGCCGCCTCCACGGACAGGCCATTATGGAGCTGCTGAGGTCCTTCACGTTCAGCTGTCTGAGGACAAAGATGCAGCCAAAGGTGGGATTGTTCAGGGTCGAGGTTACAGAGGGTGGGTGGGGCTGTCCCGCCAGCACAGCTCCAGGTAGCGGCTGCAAGTCTCCTCCACAGTGAGGGGGATTTATTTCCAGAATGCACCTTGTTAGAGCTGTCTGAAGTGACTCAATGGTAAATACTAACAATGCATGCACATTCTAAAAATTACTTTAAAATTTTTTAATAAAATCCAATGGAGTAGATGCTAAATCCATTCACATCTCCCCAAAACACGTCGATATGACCTTTGCCTTTTGAAGCTGCGCTCCAACCACATTGCCCGTGGAGACTTCCTGGATGGCCTAGTTGAAAACGGTGGCACTCACTGTCCACCTTCCTGGCTTTTTACTTCTCCATAGCATTTGCCACCTCCTAAATGACTGGATCGTTATTCTGTCTATCCTGCTTCTCCTCTGTCTTCCCCCACTAGAATGCAAGCTCCTTTAGAGAGGAGATGCTCATCCGTGTTGCTCACGGATGTTGTCTCCAACTCTGCCTAGGACGGCGACCAGCACGTAGCCACTCTTGAAGCCTTTTCTGAAGGAAGCGGAGTCTGTTTGTGAACCCTCTGTGGACAAGGCTGCCCACTTCAGTGTCAACCCCAGTTGTCGTAAATCAGGGCTAGCCCTGACCAACATGGCTCAGTTGGCTGGGCGTTGTCCCATAAAGCGTAAGGTCACTGGTTTGATTCCTGGTCAGGGCACCTGCCCGGGTTGCAGGATTGGTCCTGGTTGGGGAAACATATGAGAGGCAACCCATCAATGTTTCTCTCCCTTTCTGCCTTCCTTCTCCTCTCTCTAAAAATAAACAAATAAAAATCTCTCATAAAATGTTAAATCAGAGATACAGATTTCACTCATTAGGAGTGTTCCTCAGCTTTAGTGAGTGTGTGGCTGCTTACATGTTCTGGGAGCTGCCGTCACTGGGTTGTCTCCCCACACCCCTCACCTTTGGCTCTTCTCTTCGTTTCCTCCTGCTGGGATTGGCTTGGTCTCAGGATTTGCTGTGAGCAGCTTTTACACTGTTTCAGAGTCTGAAGATCATATGAGTCACCACCAATGAGGTTTGGGGTTCCCCCACCCCTGGGAGCTTATTGTTGTCTCAGCCTTTGAAGAAGAAAAGGAGAAGTTCTGGGTCCATGCCTCAGACCCCGGCCTCTGCCGCTGCCCCCAGCTTTTTGGGACCCTCCTTGAATTTTCTAAGCCCTTCTTGGGGCCGGGAA